ATCAGGGGTGGAAAGGAGGAGTGTGCTGTCACAGTATAGGGAGAGCAATTAGGGTCACATAACAATGTATGTATAAATTTTTGTATGAGAGACTAAAAAAAAAAAAAAAAAATCAGTATTTCTTTCCTGTCATTCACTGCCTATTGTAACTGGCATGCAAATAAAGAAAGGTTTATCTTTTCCAATTGTAAGAGCAATACATGCTCATTGTCATGATTCAGACAATTAAAAAAAATGAATATAGAAGTGATAAAAACAAACCAAACCCGCTGCCATCCAGTTGATTCTGACTCATAGCAACCCTATAGGACGGAGTAGAACTGCCCCATAGGATTTCCAAGGAGCAGCTGGTGGATTCAAACTGCTGACCTTCTGGTTAGCAGCTGAGTTCTTAACCACTATGCCACCAGGGCTCTGCAGAAGTGATAAGTACCAGTAATTCCATATCCAGATGAAACGCTGTTAATATTTTTAGCAATGCTTCCAAACATTTTCTATGTACACTATACATACCTTAAAAACTTGGATCAAACATATACCATATTTGTACGCAAATAACGCGCACCTTGGCACACAAATGTAGAAGGTGTGCATTATTTACGTACAAATATGGTATATGGAAATATAACCTGCATTTTTCCATAATACCATCTTATGGACATATTTCCATATTAATATAGAACTACATCATCATTTCAAAAGTTGCAGGCAATGCATAATTTATTTAATCAGCTCTTACGAAGAAATTTTGATAGTTTTCAATTTTTAACTCCTAAATAACACTGTAATGAATACACTTGTATAAGTATCCTTTGTTCCCTACTCTAATTACTTTGTTAGGGGTAATTCTTAAAAGTGAAATTGTCAAGTCAAAAAATATATATTTGATTAAAAAAAGTTTTAGTTTAATTTTTGTTTTAACAAAGTTATACATCAGCTCTAAGAACTGACTAGGTCTATAAGGTTGTTAAGACAAATTTCTGGTATTACTCCCTAACATTTCCCCTCTCTAGAGGCAACTTCTTTCAATGTTTTAACTACATCTTTCGGTGGTTATTTCCCTATCCCTAAATAACATTTCCATACTGTTTTTCTTATGTTTGCTATTTTGGGCATTATGTACTAACTCTCTTATTATAACAGGTGAGAATTTAGCTCTTCTGTCCTCTCGTCTGCCGTCCCAAACACACGCATATTTCCCATCTTCCCTTCCTTCCAATGTTATTGCTGTTGGGTGCCTTCAAGTCGAGTCTGACTCATAGTGACCTCATGTGACAGAGCAGAACTACCCAACAGAATTTTTTTGGCTACAATCTTTACAGAAGCAGATTGTCAGGTCTTCCTCCGTTGGAATGGCTGGGTGGGTTTTGAACTGCCGACCTTTGGGTTAGCAGCCGAGTGCTAACTGTTGCGCATCAGGTCTCCTTCCTTCCCATGTAGTTATATAACTTTGGTTAGATCAATATTCAGTGTCTGCATTATTATGACCACATACGCTATTGATAGCTGAGATGTGGAGTATTAGGAACATCATAATACATGGGACCAAACAATGGGGCCCTATTAAAGATACAATCTGTGAGAAAAAAGAACATTAAACATCTCAATGTAATGGATTTTGGATGATCTCCCCCCAGCTGTGTCCCTGTCCTCCACGTGTACAGTAGGTCCCAAGTCATTTTATACATCATGTCCATTATTATCAAGATCGCTTTGCATGGGTTCAGCTTGCACGGTCCTGCACTACAAAGCCAAGACTGCTTACAAATTTTCCAGAAAACAAAGAAGTAATTAAGGGAGAAGCTATTAGAGAAAGATTAGCAATATGGACCCAACCACAATGGACCTGTCCTGAAGGGGACATCTGATCCGAGCTTGGCCTGGCAAGGGTTTCCTTCCCAGGAATTTGTAACTTGGACTGAGAGATTTAGTCACTCTGGGTGGTTTAGCTGCCAATACGTAAATGTGGAGTTATTAGTAATCACATCCTACCACATGGACTGAGGGGCAGAACAGCAGCAGCTACCAAGTGTCTACTTAGCGGCAATTCAGTAGTTACAATCCGGTCTGAAGGCAGAGAGCGCGTGTGCTCCTGGTGGTGGGGGGGTGGTGTTACAGCACTTGGCTTGAAGCTGCTACCAAGTGCAGTTTTGATTTAGACTGTGTGTTTATCTGGAGTGGCTTAGAGATGAGGCTAATGCACTGGGAGAGAAGACTGGTACAATTACATAAAAAGAAACAGAGATAGAAAACAGAGTTTTGATGGTATTCAAAGTCCCTTCTAAAGGTCTGGCTGCATTTCTGTTATTGGGTTGTTTGAAGACACTTGTATAAAAAACCAGTTGCCACTGAGTGAATTCAGACCCATGGCAGTCCCACGCACGTAAGAGTAGAACTATACTCCGTAGGGTTTTCAATGGCTTATTTTTCGGAAGTAGATTTCCAGGCCTTCCTTTCCAGAAAGAGTCGATTCTAACCACCAACGTTCTGGTTAGCAGCCAGTGATACATTTTGTGTTTATGCTCAAGTCCTGAGTGCCCTGTTATCTGCAACCAACAAAGTCCTGAAAAACCAGAACCAAATGACATATGACATCCTTGATCAATCTCGACGGTGACTGTCAAAGCAACTCTGAGGCTGGTGCAAACACCAAAAGAGGCATAGCTGGCCTCTCTCTCAGGCTGCTGGTTCAAGAAAACTAAAATTACTAAGAGTAGATAACATAAACTGGCATTTGAAAGCAATATTTGCTACATATAAATAGCAGTAAAGACAATACACCCATAATTCATCAAGAATTGTTCTCATGATGGGCAGAAAGTTCATCACTGTTAAAGCTGAATGATGGGCACATGGGTTAATTATGTTTTCTCTTAGATTTTTTTTTATTGTGGTAAAATATATGTAACAAAATAATGCCATCATAACCATTTTTAGTGTACAATTCAGTGACATTTGTTACTTTCTCCATGTTGGGCAACCATCACCACTATCCATTTCTAAAATTTTTTCATCACTCCAAAAAGAAACTCAGTACCCCTGAAGCAATAATTCCCCATCCTTCTCTCCCTCTAGCTCCTGGTAACCACTATGCATTTGTCTGTTCTAGGTATTTCACATAAACAGGATCAGACAACGTTTGTTCTTCTGTGTCTGACTTACATCACCACTCGGCCTAAAGTTTTCAAGGTTCATCCATGTCATGGTGTGTATCAGAACCTCATTTCTCTTTATGACTGAATAATACTCCGTGTATGGATAGACCACGTTTTGTGCATCCATTCATTTGTTCATGGATACTTGGGTTGTTCCCCCCTTTTAATTACTGTGGATAATGCTCTGATGAATCTTGGTGTCCAAGTATCTGTATGAGTTGCTGCTTTCATTTTTTTGGGTATATACCTAGGAGTGGAATTGAGTCATATGGTAATTCTATGTTAACTTTTTCAGGAACAGCCAAAATGGCTGCATCATTTCATATTCCCACCAGTAATGGAGGAGGGAATGAGTCCACATTTGTTATCTTGATTGTTTTGCTGACAGCAGCCATCCTAATGGGTGTGAAGTGGTATCTCATTGTGGTTTTCATTTGCATTTCCCTAATGATTAATGAGGGGCCGCTAATGGTGGCACAGTGGTTAAGAGCTCGGCTGCTAACCAAAACATCACCAGTTTGAATCCATGAGCTGCTCCTCGAAAACCCTATGGGGCGGTTCTCCTCTGTCCTATGGGGTCGCTATGGGTCGGAACCGACTCGACAGCAATGGGTGATAACTAATGACGCTGGGTATCTTTTCATACGCTTATTTGCCATTAGTATATGTTCTTCTGAGAAATGTCTATTCAGATTCTTTGCCCTTTTTGTTTATTAAATGGGTGGTTTGTCTTTTGTTGCTGAGTTGTAGGAATTCTTCATATATTCTGAATATTGAACTGTTTTCTCTACTTTCATTCATAGTAAAAAGTCTTAAAAATTGTCCTTATGGGAAAAAAGTTCACTGGTATCATTTCTATTTATTTAATTTTCTTTTTTTTTTTTAAACAGAAAGGAGGCAAATACACGTAGATAAACTATTCTAAATGAAGAACAAATGTAACAAAACAAACTATACCTCTGTTTACATTTTGTTGTTTTAAGGGGTTATTTTGATAGGATCTGTTAATGCTTTAGAAGCATTAAAAATCATATAGCTTCTTTGTAAAAACATGGCTTTAAAAAACTCATAGTGAACAAGTAAACACTAATTTATCAGAAATTTAAGAGATTTAATCAACAATATTTGATATTTGATAAATTAAAAGAAACTATTAAATTTCTTCCTTTATTTAAACAAATAAAAATGATAAAACAAGTACATATTCTTGGAAACAGGATTACATTGCAAATTTTAGATAACTCACAGGTGTTCCTGGTGCTACTCGGGACACAATCACAGGCATCTTCTGATCATATCCTCCCTTAAGATAGAGCAAGTTGAGTATTTAGTCAAGTATTACCAAATAAGACTCTTAATTTAAAAAACTGAGTACAATATAAATTCTAGATTACCTTTACATTGAATCCAAATCTTCCATTTTCATCAGGCTTCATTCTGATTAGAACAAGATTATCATGTGGAATACCACCGTTAGGCTTAAGAAGACAAAAAGAAATAACATAATTTTCTTCATTTATAATCCGTCCTTCAGATACACATGAAGCATCCTTTTTGTATCATATTATCTATGATGTATAAGAAACCATAATTTTAATCAAAATGCTAGTTCAGGAAAGTAAACCTCTTTGAAGAATAACATATAGTTATCTCGACTAGATATATTCTCCCATGCCTTCTTGCCACTGCATGCTAGACTTAGGTGCCAGGAGGCCCGGTGTGTCCCCAGTAACTGCCATATCCCTAGAACCTGGCTCAAAGCTTAACATACAACAGGTACTCATAGGTGTTATGTGAACTGACATGTTGCTCCCTCGGCTTCATGCGTGCTCTTTTTTCTAAACAGCTTTATTGAGATATAATTCACATACTATACAATTCACCCATTTAAAATGGTCAATGCAATGGTTTTTACTATAGTCACAGAGGTGTACAACCAGCACCACGATAAATTTTAGAACATCTTTATCACCCCCAAAAGAAACCCTGTACCCATTAGCACTCAGTCATTCCCCATTATTCCTCAAACCCCCTAAACCTAGTCAGCCACTAATCTACTTTCTGTTTCTGTAGACTTCATATTATTCTGGATATTTTATATAAATGAAATCATATAATATATGGTCCTTTTTGACTGGCTTCCTTCACTTGGCATGTTTTATAAATGATTTTTAAGGAGAAGTAGCCTAGTGCTATAAGGACTTGCCTAAATTCCTGGGGAATAAGAATCAGGATCAGCACAAAGCTGGTTCCGAGGAGGTGGATGTCTGACATACCTCCCCTCTCCAACGTTTTTCACCATTTCTGACACCAGCCATTTCCGCCACAGCACTCTCTACTTCTCTGCTGGGATCAATAATTTGTTGCCATGGCCACACAGAACTCACACCAAACTCACAGTTACCTGGTTTATTAGGAAAGTTAGCAGGCAACAACTCGGGATCAGGATCAACTTGGAAGTAACAGGGTTAAAAGCCAACATCTTTCCGCAAGAAGGCTCTTCGGATCTGGCCCTCTCCTCTATCTGTCTCCTCCTCCTTTGCTCCTTTTGCTCTAGTCACCCTGGCTCTCTTGGTGTTCCTCGACCACGTGAGTCACACTCCTGTTTGCTGCTGCTACTCCTTCAGCTTACCTGCCGCTCTTCCACCAGATGTCTACACGGCTTATCACTAGTTCATTCCTAGCTCACACCTTCCTTCAGCTT